TAATGTTTGTTTTTTAAAAAATTTTGTACCACATTTTTTTTTCTCTCACTCTATTCAGGATTCCCAATTTTGATCCCTGAGTGGTTGGCATTGGTAGTTGGCACCATCTAGTTCTTCTGATCTCAGGGACATATAGGCTGAGGTTCTCATGGTCCATTAGTCTTTGGACTGTTTCCATGCATCTTTGGTTTTCTTCACTTTTCTTTGCTCAGGACAAGGAGAGATCAATAGTTGCACCTCAGATGGCTGCTTGTAAGCTTTTTCAGTATTTTATTTTTAATGTGACAAAGGAGATTGGTTGCTTGTTAACCTACATAATATAGGCTGGATTGTTGACAATGCTACCTGCAGGGGATGATGTGTATAGCTCAACAATTCTTATACTTTGTCTTAATGTAGTAGAGAAACTGGACTCAGAGGTGTGTTGATAGGAATAGAAGAAGAGATTTTGAAGTAATTTGGCAAGCTCGGGATATTCATTTTAAATTTTTATCCAAAATGAAAGCAAGTATGGTCTTCCTTCAAACCTTCATCAACAGCCAGTTCCAACAATTTATGATGCAAAAGTTATGGTTAAACATCAACTCTGGATTTTATAGACTTTTGGGTAACAGTTGGCAAACCAACCTTAAAATATTCAGTCAGTCTTAAAAGGACAAATACTGTATGCTCACTTATCAGTGGTTACCAGGGATGGGAGTAAAAAAGGGGCAGTTTTTGTTTAGGGGGTCACTGAGTTTACATTAATAGTGATGGAATAATTTAGAAAAGGATAGTAAAAATGGTTGCACATGAATGTAACCGATGTCTGTGGTATGGTGAATTACTTAATGTGGCCCTTCTAGCCATAGTCTTTGTGGCTTTCTACCCAGATGACTGGGTAGAATTGCAAATGTGAGGTGCTTATGATCCACCAAGGGGATTGGATAGCTTGTTACTAATGTAAATAAGGTACATGGCACCCTTGTGGGGGTGGGACCATGCAAATAAGGTGTATGGAACCCTAATGTGGGGATTGGTCAGTTTGCCATCCCCTAGGCAGAAAAGGGGGATCTCACTACCATCAATAAGAAGAGCAGGAGTGGAGCATGTCCTTTGGACCTGACATCCCTGTGCTGAATCTCCTTGATCCAGGAGACAGAGATGACAAGAAGCAGTGGCAGAGAAATTATAGCAGCAGAGGAAGCAGAACAGAACCTAGAGACCGAGATGACACAGAGCAGCAGGCTTCCTGGCCCTCGGAGTGAGAAAGCTGCATTCCTTCAGGCAGTAAGCTTGCTGGCAGAGTGGGATGTCTCCCTGGGCACCTGTCAGCTGACCTAAAAGAGCTTTGTTAACACTTGCTCTAGCGGGTCAGAGGTTGAAGGCAGGGAGAAGCATGCCTGTGGCACAGCTAAGAAGTTGTCCTGATTGAAGAACTATATCCTGAGTTGTTTCTGATCCTAAATTACCAGTTACTTGCCTTATAAACACCATAATTGTGAGTACTGTCACCGAGCTCTGTGTGGCCATTGCAATGAACTATTGACCCCAGCAAAGAAGAGTGCTGTGGGAGGGATGGTTGGTATAAGAATTGGTAAAAAGGTTGGAGGGTAGTGGCATGTCTGACCTCTGCCTCATAGGAATCAGCCTTGGGCTGTTGATCTTCATCGTGATCCTTCTCCCTCCTTGTGAAGTTAGAGGTCAGCCACTTCTGTCACCATGCCTTTTACAGTGACACAAGTAGAAATTGCTGAATTGGCGAATATTTTATTGTGTATATTTTCACCACAATAAACAAAATGATGGGCACATGTAAAAAGGATACAGAAGCCAACTTAAAGGGGCTCCAAACGGCCAAATCTGGGACAGGTGAGCAACAAAACACGAGACAGGAATGGATTATAACAGACTGATATAAATATCCATGAGTTCATGCTAATACAAATGAATAAATAGGGAAAAGGGGAAAGCTCTTCAGAACAATTCCAATTAATAAAAAGAAGGAATGACAGAAAATCATCTTTTGGCAAACACTCCAGTTAACAGTTTTAGGAAAGAATCATCAATGGGTGAAAATATGATGAAAAATGGGATACAGACATAGTCTTAAAGTATCTCCCTATAAGACACTTTATAATTACAAAGGAAAAAAGCAACTTTATGGTGGAAAAACCTGGCAGGCAGACATCACCTTAACCAAAGTTAACATCACCAAAAATGAGACATATTTACATTATGTGCTTTCTGATAACTGAGACAGGCATACTACCACTTCTTCCCCAAAACACATAACCTAAATTTAATCATGAGGAAACATCAAACAAATCTAAATTGAGGGACATTCTATAAAATACCTAGCAAATACTCTTCAAAAGTAAACTGACTAGACTAGAGACCAAGGAAACATGACAAATGCAATGTGTCCTCCTGGAATGGATCCTGGTCCAGTAAAAGGGCATTATTAGGACAAATGACAAATTTAACCAATTTCTGTTGTTTGCATCCAACAAACTGGCTACTACATCAAAAGCATGTTATGTTCAAGAAAGTTCCTTGCACTTGGTACTGCTATTATAGTTTCTATTTATTAAGCAGTCACAAACCTTTGACCATGTTATCCTACTGAATGCTAATTTTCACAAACCTGAGGTATTACCACCCCATTATAGATTAAAAACTCTGATTTAGAGAGATTAAGGGATTTCCCAAGATTGTTCAATGAGTAAGTGCTGAAGCAATGAGCTGAATTTATCCTTATGACTTGATGCATTTTAATCACAATGCTTCTCTCAACTAATTTTTTTTAAACCACTGCCTATTAATTCTGTCATAAAATGGCTAGAACGTTTTAAAGTCCAAGTTAGAAGGCTTGATGCCACTGTATGACTCAGCTGTCATAGTCATTGACCCCAGTTCCTACTTCTTTAGAAAATGTTGGTTTGATCTATTAAAAAGTACGTAACGTTCATGTTATTTGGTAGCAATGAAAAAGGATTCAGAATATCATTCCTTCAAAAAAGACATAGTCAAAGAAAAATTGGTTATTTCCTAATAGAATTAGACCATATGCAGTATCTACCACATGTAGAATCTCAGGTGTTTGTTTTATAATTGTGGAATAACCCACCAACTAGATGTAGTGATTGGGTTTTCTTTTTCAATGTCAGTGGAATCTGGCTTTCCTGCCTCACAGAAATCTCAACACTGTGATTTATGTTCCTGAACAAATTAGACTTAATTTAAGAGCAAATCATCAGCAACAGGTATAATAATCTTGGCAGAACATTTATTTTAATTAATTGCTTTCTGCCTAACATAGATAGAAGGATGTTGATGCCCATTACCCTGTAAGGATTAGTGCTATCATGTAATTAATTTTTTTTCTTCCCCTAGAACTTAAAGTCTCATCAGTTTTAAATTACAAAGGCATTGGTTTACTTCATATTTAATCGTAACAATCTAACTTCTATGCAATGTTTACATAAGAAACTTGTGAAAGAAAAGTGGATTTTAACCACTCTGCAGCATTCTAGATTCCTGATTTCCGGACTTCCGGTAAGATGGAGGAATAGGCAGACAAGCAACACAGATCCTCTTCAACAAAGAAAAGAAAAACCAATTGACAGAGATACAGAAGATAATCCTGGAACCCTGAGCTTTGAAGGGATCTATACAGATGTGGATTAGACACCAACTGGTGGAAAACCTGAACAAAAACAGGACCTAAGAACAGGCTGTTTGCCAGGGTTGGCAAAAATATACGAGAGGCTGACAACAGGAAAGGAGACAGGTGGTGAGTATATAAGCGCTGTCAACTAGTGAATGGAGGACCACAGCACAGTACCCTGCTTGTGCAGATAACATACAAACAAAACAAAGAAAATGAAAATTGTGGGCAAGTCACTCCAACATATAATCGCCAATTAAATATAAACACAAAAACGTCACAATGCCTAGAAGACAACAGAGCATCACAGTCCACACAAAGAAGCAAGACAAACCAGGAGAAACAAGGGACCAGGATACAGACCCAAAACACATCCCTGAGGAAGACGCAGCATTGGAACTCTCTGATAAAGAATTCAAAAGAATTGTATTTAGGTATCTTGAAAGGATTGAGAGACAGACCAAGGAAACACAGACAAAACCCTAGATTCCTGATTTCCAAACCCAGGCTCTGCTGGGTTCCATGTCAGTCAGAGTGGGAACGGTTTTGGGACTTAGGCAGCTGAAAAACCCTTACCTCCATAAACTTGGCTGGTGGGCAGGGAGGGTGGCAAACACTTCAGTGATTTTATGACAGTGTTTTCCTTCCCTGTGTAGTTGAGTATCAGCTTCACTATTTTTATATTTCAATGAGAGGCAAAGAGAAAAAAAATTATTTCACTTTTTGAAGATTTAACATTAATTGTCCAAGGCATCTTGCAGTAAGTGGTAGAAAACACAACTAAATACACTCCATCTTCTCACACCTGCCCACCCTGATGTTATCCATAGAAATGATTTGATGGTCTTTCCCAAGAAGAGCAAGAAACAGCTAACACTAAACCCAAGTATGGTTCCCAGGGGTAGGGAATTCTCTTACTATACCTGTGTTATATAATCATTAAATTGAAAATTCTAATAAAAGTCTTTTTTTAAAAAAACTGTGATTTGGGTGCAGACTTACAAAGCAGACTCATTTTACTCTCAGTAGTTCATGCACATTTGATTTTCTAATGAAGGTCTTTTAAGAGATAAAATTAAGAGAGAGAGAAAAATTTAAGTCTCTGTTACCTAAAGTCAAGTGTGAGTTTATCATACATTCTGTACAAATTCAGTAACAAGAATGGTAATTAAAATGTCTTTCTTCTATTGGTACTGAATCTCAGGAAGCAGTAAGAATAAACACAAGTGTTTTTTTTTTTTTTTTAAAGCCTCCAATCATTTGTATAATCAGACAATTCTGATTAAATAAAACCCCATTTAGTTAGGTTTCACAGTATAAAATAGATTAAGTAGTACTGAAATGACACAAATTTGGAATCATTATTAACTTTATTTGTCACTCTTTATAGTAAGACATTGGTCCACTTTCACATGAAAAGTAGGAATTATCCATTTCCACTTAGTATTCTATAGAATGAAGTTGTACCGCAAACCATATATACTTACATAGGGGGAAAAGTTACTGAAATAAAAATATTTTATATTCATGCCCCAAAGTATCCCCCGCCAAGATGTTTTTACATCTATTCCTCCACAAAGCTACCTGTTTCTTAGATCAACATAGTATTTTTAATATCCCCACCAGACCATTCGGATCACCAAACTTTTAGAAGAGGTTAAAAAATAACTATCCTGTCAATCAGAATACAGTTGCAAAACTAAGAAATTGTGTAAGCACATCCATATTTTAGGGTTGCTCTAGATTAGAAACGTTTTCTCTTGTTTTAGAGCTATTTACATCAAATTAAGACATTTACAAATGGTTAATAGTACACAACAGCTCAAACATGATTTTCACCTATCCCATGTAAGGAAATTAAGCATCCTTAAGTTTCTCTAATAAATTCAGTGCAACGTTTCAATATAAATAACACAAGCTAATCTAAATGTTTTACAATTATTTCAGTGCATATTTCCATATGTTAAATGGAATGAAACTGTATTATTAAATGGTTATATAATATTTGAGCATATTAGGGAATCTATATCACACAATTTGATTCACACCAATACTGTAATCCACTTTTAAAAAAAAGTCACAGGCACACACAAAACAGAGAACAAAATTTGCTTTTTTTGTAAATTTAAATTATGCTATCTAGTTTAAACCACCGAAAGATTTATTTTAACAAAACAGCAAATTTCCAAACCCCTTTTCTAAGTCTGGTGTAAGGAAAGTTCAATCCATTCGAATCTTCTGGTTGGTCATCCTATAAATGATGCTATCATATCCAGGATCCATGTTCCAAATATTGTAAGAGGTGACAATCACAGCCAAGGCCAAGGCAATCATTATCCAAAGTACCATGTTGAAAACCACTGAATACTCAAAATTATACTTATATGCAAGGTTATAGGGAGTTGGTGGACTCTTCTACAATCAAGGGGAAAAAAATCAAGAGGAAAGAATTTTAAGATAGCAAATTATTTCAACTTGGTTGCTATGATTCATTTATCTAACAAACACTTAATCATAAGTGGCATAAGAGTTATTTATATCAGGAAGAACCAAGAAGTGGAGCCTTCATGGAGAAGATCCTTACAGCACTCTTGTTGAAAATATGAAATGGTCCAAATGCTTTAAAAATGTGATAATACTTGATAAAGTTGATGATGTATATATCTTGTGATCCAGCAAGTCTATACCCTAGGGAAAACTTCTCTATGTGTACCAAAGGACATGTACAAGAATGTCCATCAATAGAATGGATGACTGTGGCATGTCCACACCATGGAATATGTTGTTGTTATGTGCCGTCGAGTCGGACCCGACTCATAGCTATCCCTCCTTGGGTTTCTGAGACAGTATCACTACGGAAGTAGATTGCCCCATCTTCCTTCCGAGGAGTGGCTGGTGGGTTTGAACCACCTACCTTCTGGTTAGCAGTCAAGTGCCTTAGCCACTACTCTACCAGAGCTCCTACCATGGGATATAGAGCAGTAAAATGATGGTGGTACAAGCTACATTCATCAGCATGAATCTTAAAAACAATACTGAGCAAAGACCACAGAAAAACAGTGTATGATTGCATTTATATGAAATTCAGATGCAAGCAAAACCAAACATTGATTAAGGATAGATATAGATGTAGTCAAACTGTAAAGAAAAGCAAGAGAATGACGGCAATTACCTCTGGATGGGGATGGTAGAGAGTAAGATGAGGGAGCTTCAAAACGAGTACTGTCTTTCTTAAGCTATATGATAAACAGTGTTACTGTTATTTTATTCTTTGAATGTTATATAAGGAGCTCTGGTGGTGTAACAGGCACTCAGCTGCTAACTGAGAGGTTGGCAGTTTGAACCCACCAGCCTGGGACCAGGTTTTATGTTCATTTTTTGGCTTGGGGCTTCTGAAAGTTTGCCAGTAATATCAACGTGAGCCCCAAACCCACATGAAGGTGGCTCCATGGTTAAGAATTCCTTGGGAGCCATCCCTACTCCCAACACACCTAGAACCCAAGCTTCCTTCAGCTCTCTTTGTTGGTAGGCCAATTGTTTTCTGCTCTACCCTCTCACTCAGGGCACAGCCCTTTCCGGGTCCCCAGCTTTATATGGAGTTACCAGTTCCAATTCCCCACTTCAGGAAGCCAAAGGTCTCACTTCCAGTCTCTTGGTAACTCAACTGGTAAATGCCCCTTGGGCAGCCTGCTTGCTACAGTTTTCAGGTTCCTTTCTTCTTTGTTCTCTCCTTAAGAATTTCGTTAATAGGAGAAATGATGTGCAGAGGGGAGAGGAGGTATATGGGAACTCTCTGTCCTTCCCACGTAAGTTTTCTGTAAACCTAAAAATGCTCTAAAAAAGTCTCTTGAAAAAAATTTCCCCTTTCTTTTTGAGAGCCCAACTCTGCACTCAAAAAGGTGTTTGTTACTTATGTATCCAGCATTTCTAGATGTTTTGTGGTAGAAAATTTGTGGGTGGTCTAGCCTGCCATGCTGTCCTAAACAGAATTCCTTCCAGTCCAATTCAATTTAGAATAAAATAATCTCAAACCAGTCATGTCTAGATTATCTTAAACAAGTGTTATCTTTGGCCTTCTTTCTCCAAGTCCCACACTGCTATCAGTAAAACAGACCAGGCTGCAAATGGGTGCAAAGAAGAATGTGTAATTCAAAGTCTACAGAAGGAATAATCAACACTGCCGACACCTTGATTTCAGACTTCTAGCCTCTAGAACTGTAAGAGAATACATTTCTGTTGTCTTAAGCAAGAAAAAAAGAGAAATGTGTATGAATGATTGGGTACCAGACTGCAAGTGACTGAAGCCAGCCATAAATAATGTTCTTGGCCACACAGTATTTTGGAGCATCTACACTAGACTACTATTCTTTTCCATAACCCCTTGGATATGCTGAAGCTACCTGTATGTACATATGTAAAGACACACACACAAGTGTTTTACATGGCCTATGACCCTGTAAATGATTAAGATCAAAGCAAGATTCACCAGAACAAAGAAGAATGAAGAAAACCAAAAATTCATGGAAACAATCAGTCCTAGCAACTGGTACACCATCCGTTCTGCAGCCTATACGACTATGAGACCAGAAGAACTAGATGGTGCCTGGCTACCACTGTCAACCACTTGGAAGGGGATCTATGTAGTAGATCCTGGATAGAAAGGGAGAACAATGTGGAACAAAACTCACAATCATTTGGAGAAAAAAAAAGGGGGGGGGGCAAGGTTTGCTGGTCCGATAGAGCCTGGTGGAACCACTGAGACTATGGCCCCAGCTGCCCTTCAGGTCTGGAATTGAACCCACACCTGTGGTTTCCAGCCAAACAGAAGACAGGCATATGAGTTGAACATTTACCTGAGGTAGATACACTCCTTGGAGAGAACAATCATGGGAGAAACAAGGGCTGGTTATGCACAGGGAGACAGCTCAGGGGGCAGGAGTGCATGGAGGGATGGACACAGAGAAGAGGTGGCTATCAGGAGGAGTGGGAAGGGAGCTGTTGCATTGTGGTAAATTGTGGTCAATGTCACGAGACAAAGTGTATGTGAACTGCTGTATGGAAAATGAATTTGCTCTGTAAATTTTCACCCAAATAAAAAAAAAACAAGATTCATACCAGAAAGGTATAGAAGGAAATCAAATTACAGAGGTGTACATAGAGGATCCTGTGAAAATGAGAGACTGTGCCACAAAGACAATGCACTTCCTATGCGAATTCTCTTTGACAGATTAACTTATCTCTAACTCGAATTCCTGCATTATCTGGTTACAAGGCCAAAGAACTGAGTACCACTAGCAAAATACACACGGGACTTACTCATTCTGTGTGAATAAAAAAACAACTATGCTTTAAGTAGAATTGTTTTCCAGATTTCCTGACTGCTTGTTCATGTCATCCATGTGTGATACAGGATTTAGTGTTTTTTTAAGTTATTTTTACAATTTTAAAACAGAATCTAAAAGTGTACTCACCATCTGTTTTGCCTCAAGGATAGTCCTTGTCTTTCTCACAAGGGATGTGTCAAATGATTTGATAGTCACCAACTCTACCACTGCATTCCCACCATAAAGATTGTACATGTCATCTGCAAACTGAAAATTTATTTATTAACATTATTATGAATCTCAAAGCCATACTCCTTGAATTTTGTGTAAAGCTTCAGTGTAGCTACAGTCACCTGTTGGCTTATGAAAGGAGCTCTGGTGGCACAGTGCCTAACACACTTGATTGCTAACCAGAAGATTGGTAGTTCAAACCCAGCAGCCACTCCTCTGAAGGAAGACTAGGCAATCTACTTCCATAGAGATACTGCCTTGGAAACCCAAAGGGGGTCGCTGAGTTGGGATCGACTCAATGGCAGTGAGTTTGGTTTTTTTTTGGTTATTGGGCTTATGAAATACACTATGTCTTAAAATATACAAGTCTTAAAGGTAAAGATTATGTTAAATATTTGGAAAAGTGTCAGTCTTCAACATATATTCAAATGTTCAAAATAGAATTACTTTAAGAAGAAACTGAATTTCAGGCAAAGACACTAAGTAGTTTCTGGCTAATTACAAATGTCGATAAAAACTTGAATAGAGCCACACTAGAGTTTTAGGTGAATAATTTCAAGGGCAGAGAAAAACTAGCATTTATTATGTATTTACTCATTGTCTGGCATTGTGCTAGAAGCTCTACTTATAGTATTTCATTTAATTTTAAAGAACCTCAATAAAATTTCATTTTTAAATGACTCAGCAAATGGGTACTGTCATACTTGCCTATGGGAATGTAGATTAGAACCACCTTTCCAGAGAATAATTTGGTAATCATGGTAACAGATTTTTAAATGATTTCTAAATTGTAAATTATACTTCTAAGAAGGCTGTTTACTCAGGTTCAGGGGTGATAACCAGGGCATGACCACAGAGTCTGACAGTGGACAGACAAACCTCTTTTTGTCTGTCCCTCTTAGAGATGGAAGGGGGAGGAAGGACTGGAGAGCCTTGGTGCTCTTTCGTTCTCAGCCATATGAAATAATTAAATAAAGAAACCTTACCAGCAGAGCTACAACTAGAAAATGAAATGACTGCTGAAAAGCCCTCCTTAGTATGGAAAGTAAATTTGCTCTGTAAACTTTCACCCAAATTACACACACATACACACACAAAAAGTTACATTAAAAAAAAGCCCTCCTTAACAAGGTTGAACTCTTAGCGTCCTAAACCTTTGTCTCATTGCCTTCTAAAAGTACCAGTTACTTAACTCAGAGAGCCTGGCAAAGAGAGAGGGAGTGGTTTCTCCTGATCTTTGGCCAATATAATAGCATTCTACACATACCAACCATTTCCTGGTCTTCTGATTACTACAAAAATCCAGGTTAGAGTATGCTGATCCAGCCAGCAATGAAAGCACACACAGCAACCCCATGCCCGCCCTAACCACCAGGGCTCTCTACTCCCTTACCATTTCTGCTCAGCATACTGAATAAAGGCATAAAAACATTTTTATGAAGTCAAAAGGTTATTAAGGACTCAAAGGAACAAATAGGGTTAAAGGAATTAACTGTCTTCAAGAAAAAAAAAATTATCCAGAGCTTAAAATTCTATCCTTAAAAGAGTTATCATATGACCTAGCACTTCTCCTAGGTCTACACTCAAGACAAGTAAAACTATGTTCACACAAAAACTTGTACACAAATGTTTATAACAGTACTCATAATAGCCAAAAAGTGGAAACAACCCACATGTCCATCTGATGAATAAACAAACAATGGTGGCATATACATATAATGGAATATTATTCAGCCATAAAAAGGAATGAGGTACTGATAGATACAACGTAGATGAACCTTGAAAACATTATGCTCAATGAAAGAACAACAACAACAACAAACCAAATGCACTGCCACAGAGTACATTCTGACTCATAGTGATCCTACAGGACAGTGTAGAACTGCCCCATAGGGTTTCCAAGCCTGTAAATCTTTACAGAAGCAAATAGCTTCATCTTTGTCCTGGGGAGGGGCTCGAACTGCCAACATTTTCTGGTTAGCAGCCGAAGGCTTTAACTACTATGCAACCCAAAACCTAAATCCACTGCCACTGATTAGATTCTGACTCATAACGACCCCATAGGGTTTCCAAGGCTGTAAATCTTTATGGAAGCAGACTGCCTCATCTTCCTCCTGCAGAGCAGCTAGTGGGTTTGAACCACCAACCTCTGGGATAGCAGTCAAATGCCTTAGGCACTATGCCACCAGAGCTCCTTAAATGAAAGAACCCAGATGACAAAAAGTCAAATATTGCATGATTCCATTTATATGAAATGTTGAGAATAGACAAATCCAGAAAGACAGAAAGCAAATTAGTGGTTGCCAGGGTCTGAGTGTGTGTGTGTGTCCATGAAACAGTAGTAGTATGATACTAATGGGTACAGTTTCTTTGTGGAGTGTCAAAAATGTTCTAAAATTAGGTTGTGATGATGGTTGCAGAACTCCACCATATACGAACAACCACTGAATCGTTCACTTTAAATGAGTGAAACGTATGTGAATTACAAAAGTGTTCTCATGTATAGTGGTATAAATGTGTATAACCTTCCTGGAGTACCAGAAGCCTTAAAACTGTTCACATCCTCTCATCCAATAATCTCCTTGTACAAGTTTATCCCAAAGAAATATTCAGAGCTGAAGACAATGATTTACGCACTAGGATGCTCATTACAGTAAAATTTGTAATAGTAAAATGTTAAAAAGAAAAATCTAAATGCCCCCCCCCAAAAAAACCCCTGTGATTTGAGTAAATAAATTATGGTACAGCTATTTATTAAGGAGCCCCGGTGGTGCAGTGGTTAGGCATTCAGCTGCTAACCAAAAGGGTGGTGGTTTGAACCTATCAGCCACTTCATGGGAGAAAATGTGGCAGTATGCTTCCATAAAGATTACAGCCTTGGAAACCCTATGGGGCAGTTCTACTCTGCCCTACAGGGACGCTAGGAATTAGAATTGAAACAATGGATTTTCTTTTTTTTGGGGGGGCGGGATGTTTTACATCTATTCATTAATATTTATTGCCTTCATTAAAGAGTCCAGTTAATTAAAGAAAAAAAAAAAGTCATGATGCTGGAGTTACCTATCATTAACACTCCCCCTCCCAGCACTGCTGTTGTTGGTTGCCATCCAGTTGACTCTGACTCATGACAACCCCATGTGTGCAGAGAACTGTGTTCCACAGGGTTTTCAAGGCTGTGACCTTTTGAAAGCAGATGGCCAGGCCTGTCTTCTGAAGGCCCCTCTGGGTGAGTTTACCTAACTGTCCATGCCACCCAGGGCATGGATGGCATGCTTTCTCCCAGCATTAGGAAGAGATATCCCAACATACCCCTTTCACTCCATCCTTGGCCACTAAAATGAGAAGCCCCTCAAAGAAAGTGAGTAAGACTTTAATCAACAATGTTTCACAAAGCAGATTCTTCCACTAAGAAGGTAAAAGTGAAACAGTCATACTCCAACCTCTCATATCACATTGATATTTACCTTTTGCAGAGAGTCAATAAGGATCCTAGAAGCATCTCTGAATTGTTCAGAGTCTTCCCCATAACGTTTCCCAATTTCATCCAAACCTGCCAGCTCCAGTGAATATAAATCAGGAGAATGATCCTTAGCTAGATGCTTATGTCGAGACAACTTAGGAGGGAGAAAAAAAAAAGGTAGTGAATAAAGAAAGATGTCAAACACAGGCAGGTGAAGTCTTATGCCTAACTAAAGTAGGCTGACAGAACCACACCAGTGTGCCACAATAGACAAATAGTCTAAAATGGCGGCAAACTGAACCAGTTTAAACGGCTGTTTTGGATAAAACAAATCCAACACAAATCTCATTTCTAGAAGCAGTTATACCAAAACCAATTCAAACCCACTGCCATCGAGATGATTCTGACTCACAGTGACCTCCCCCGATGGGTTTCTGAGGCGGTAACTCTTTACGGAAATAGATTGCCCCGTCTTCCTGCCACGGAGTAGCTGATGGATTTGAACTGCCAAGCTTCTGGTTAGCAGTCAAATGTCTTAGGCACCGTGCCACCAGCACACCTCAGAAGCAGTTATAGGACTCCCTAAATATATGTTTTAAATTCCTCCATTTTAAAAACTCAGACATAGGCCAGGCTATGAAAGAATAGATGGTTGGACCATTTGATCCTAGGAGAGCATGAAGCATGGGTGCAGAAGGAATAGACACCTCCCACGTCCTCCAGGTCTCCAGCACTCTGCCTCCTGGAACCAACTGTTATTGCGAGTTGCTGCTGAGTTGGTTCCGACTCATGGTGATCTCTTATGTGCAGAGTAGAACTCCACAGGGTTTCGAAGGCTGTGACCTTTCAGAAGCAGATCACCAGGCTTGTCTCTTGAGGTGTCTCTGCGTGGGTTCAAACCACCAACCTTTCAGCAAGGAGTTAAGTGCTTAACTGCTTAACTGCTGTACCGCCCACAGACTCCCCTGGAACCAATACCCACTGAGTAAGTTTGGGAAACAACTTCAGAAAATAGCAAATAGGTTATGGTTTTTGAATTTGAGTCACAAGGATGATTTAAAAATAAAAATCATTCACCAAAAACAGAAACAAAACCCTCCAGACAGATTTATTCTCTTCTTTGACGACCTGGTAGACAGCATTATTAGTCCAAACTATTATTTCTGTTTTAGACCCAAAGATAATAGGAATGAGGTCTTAATGCCTGAGAAGTCAATGGCCAAGTTAGGACTACAGCCAAAGTGTCCTTACTCCCAGGCTTGTATTCTTGGGAGAATATAATCTCTTACCTACAAGTAGAAATGCAAAATAATTTGACTATGAGTTAAAAAATTTCAATAATGCTAATTTCTCAATTTTCATGGGATCATAAATCTGAATCAACTTTTTAGTTGGTTTCATTACCATTCAAGGATTCTCTAGAAACGTCTTCTGGAACCAAAATAAATGGAACTGAAAAATTACAGCAGCCTACTTACCAAACTTGAAATATCATGTAGCACTTGCAGTTCGGAAAGAAAGAGCAGGTCGACCTTTAGTGAGCAAAAAGATTTTTAAATATGTTATCAGAGAACTGTAACTGCCATTTATCAAGCAAGGCTCTAAATATTACAAACGTTAATCACAGTGGAGAATAAAAGATGGTGGTCTTGGTCATCCATAGTAGATAAAGAGGCAAGGCTGCCGCAAAGGTAGCATGTCATGTGCTTAGGAGGAAGCATGGGCAGATGCTGAAGCGGAAGGACAGGAGTCAAAAGTAGGGGTGGCTCCCTGCACTGTACTGCAAGAGTGGTTAGGAAAATATAGCAAAACATCAGTGGCAGAAGTGCTAAGGGCTCCCACATTATCAGAATACATAGCTCCACCAGCCACCAAATAGATTCTGTGATTTCTGACTTGTCTGGATCAATAGGTGGCAACTCTTATGCTAGCAAGTAATATTATGTACAAAAGCTCAACTCACAAAGAAAGGCAGGGATTCTTAAGAAAATTACCCTTAAGGAAACAAGAATCTCCTCTAACAAATCTGCAAAAGTCTTCATTTTCTAAAATTTCCAGTTTGCTCTTAAGTCAGTAGCATAAGCAATGTGAAGTTAGTAATGATACTCATTTATTCCCCCCAATTTACTTCACTGTTCCGACTTACTTCATTGTTCCGACTCAGGGAATTGAGGGGAAGTGAACTGAGAATGGAGTTTTCTTGAAACAGGCGATTACGGAGCTGTCGTAATGTTACTGAAAGGTCTTCAAAAACTGAATTTGCCTTCCCCACCATATACACTCTCTGCAAGAAGAATTCAAATTTTAAATTACTCACATTTTACAGATTAATTCCAATACAGAGGTCTGACAGCAATTTTCATAAAATTAGTTTAAACTTTAATTAAGTGATAAAAATTTATTTTTTTAAGCATTATATTAAAAATTGTATCACTTACTTCCTCACTAGGAGCCAACTGCAAAACCACAGGAGTTTCTTCAGAAAATAAGGAATGAATGGAATTTGCAACACTGTCAAGACTGAAAGGAACTGCCTGAAATTTAAAAGTAAGACCTTAATTGTTATCTGAACCAGAGAGGGGAAAAAAAAAGCAACAGCATTTTCTAAGTAAACACAAAAGACCTAAATCCTTTCCAAACCCAAGAGCTCTTTTTCCAGGCACAGAAGATTTAACAGCCCTCTAGTGGGCCAATAAGTTCATGTCTCCCAATGTGCTAAGTGGGAAATACCTGGCAAACACTGTGGACATAACACTATCTAGCATAAACTGTAATTTTCTGGTGGTCTTTTGTGTATTCTAAGCAATGTATCTGATTTCAATATTGATTAAACATGCTAACTGAATGTAGCACACAATAATGTATTAACTTGCATTAAAGAGAAGGCCATACAATTAGTGGCTGATGGGGGCAGGTGAAGGAGCCCTGATGGCATAGTTGGCATAGTGACTAAGGTATGTGACTGCTAACCAGAAGGTTGGTAGTTCACACCCACCAGCTGCTCTGTGGAAGGAAGATGGGGCAATCTACTTCTATAAAGATTCGCTGCGTTGGAAACCCAATGGGGGTCGCTATGAGTTGGAATTGACTCGTTGGCAGTGGGTTTGGGGGCAGGTGAGAGGGGGAAGTAGGGAAGGTATTGCTTACGGGGTGTTTTTGTTAAGAGTGGTAAAAAAAAAACATGGAAAGAAATAGTGGCTGCACAATATGGTGACCTAAAAATGGTTGAAATGGCAAGCGTTTTGTTATATATACTTCACCACAGTAAAAAAATAAGAAAACAAAACCAAAAAAGAGGTCATACACAGGAGTTTGAGGGTAGTTTTTCCCCTAAAAAAGTAATTTTATCCCTGAGATTATTGTATTATGACAAGCAAGACAGTAGTATTTTTGTTTTAATGGAGATTTTTTCCCCAATGATATTCTTTTCAGTAACTCCCTTTACTACTTAAAGGTTCATGTAAGTACCAATTAATGTTAACATGGTACAGATAGAAATCAGTGTGACTATATAAATCTTACTGATGAAATCCCAGCATAAAAGATTGCCCCATCTTTCTTCATGGAGCAGCTGGTGGGTTTGAACTGCTGACCTTCTGGTCTTATCCACTATGCCACCAGAGCTCCTTAGCATAAAATTAGGTTTATCAATTTTACACTACTGTGAAATTAAAGAATTATTTTCCTCTCACTCAAGATACATAATAACTTCCCAAAATTCTTTTGAAAAAAGTTAATGAGTAAGTGAAGAGGGGGAAAGAAAATCTGAAGTTGCAAAAGCATACTGTTAGCAACTTCCTTTAGTTAGCCACAAGTCCTTTCCTTTTTGCAATCATAGTTCACCTCCTCAAGCTTTGGAAGGAATTCACAAACATGTAACATAAACCTTCATCACTTCACCTAGTGAAATTACATTCTTATCAGAAGAGTTGAAGAATACCAGTAGGATGCCCCTAGCAATCAAACTGGAGAAGCTAATGATTCAAATGAAAATGAGACTATGAAGAAACAAAAAAATCTTTCAACCACTAAGCTTAAGGTACCTGGTACTGCTAATGCCTTAGCTTTTTGGAGGTTCTGTGGACCTAATCAGCTTGCTTCTCAGCTTGCTTCACTGGGCCTCAGGTGCTAACTTTCCTGGCTCTACTAGGTCACCCTCCCTCTTTCCCCCTACCATATTTCTCAACCATTAGTAAGTTGGAGACAAAATATCCATTTACTCCTAAGCACTTTGTTATGTAATTCCTAAGAATAATGACTTCCACTTAAAAAAATATTATTTCAATTTTTTCGGGGACATAATCTGAAACCTACAGAAAAGTTGCATGTAACGAGTCCCCATATACCCCCTACCCAGATCCATTTTGCAACATTTGCGTCAACATTTCGGCACTCTCTGTATTTCTCATTTACATTATAAAAGTGACATTTTGCTGTATTCAGGTGTTCCTCAGCTTTGGTCCCTTTGGTGTGTGGACTTCCCACTCTTTTGTACAATATTCATCACCAGCATTATGTTAGAGAAAGGGCCTGGCCACTGTGCCACTGCTGTATCCCAGACCCCAACGGTGCCTGGCATGAGTGTATACCTAATACATACTTGTGGATGTGTTAATTGATGTCTCAAGGCCACCATTCCCACACCCAAGTTAGATCCTGATGTGCCAGTTGGCACAGGCATGACTGTGCCCGGGTGCTGCAGGCGGACTGCCGAAACATCAACAGAAAAGCCAGTTTGGTCTCTATGGCAGGGTGTGTACCATTGTTTGACTATTATTATAATGTATTAAATGTTGAAACCAAATGACCAAAAACTGTATAAAAGGCAAGATATAATTAGGGATTCTGAGACACATTTTGGCTCGATAGGAATGGGATCCTCCTGAAAATAGTGGAAATCTATAGTTCTTTTTACACGCTCTTTTTTGTTTCTTCAGTGACTTACTATTTTTAAAATTGAGCTATAACTTACACACCATAAAATTAATCCTTTTAAGGTATACAATTCTGTGGGGTTTAATGTATTCACAGGGTTGTGCAACCATCACTACTACCTAATTCCTGAACATACCCATCATCCCAAAATAAATCCTTCAGTTATTACCCCCAACCTCCCCAATCACTGCCCAGTCCTAGGCAATCGCTAATCTTTCTGTCTCTATGGATTTGTCTATTCTAAATATTTCATATAAATGGATTCATACAATATGTAGTCTTTTGTGTCTGGGTTCTTTCACTTAGCATAATGTTTTCAAGGTTCACCCATATCATACATGGATCAGCACGTCATTCCTTTTTAAGGCTGGATAATATTCCATTGTATGTATATATTCTATTTTGTTTATCCATTCATTAATTGATGGACATCTGGGCTGTTTCTACATTCTTGCTATCATGAAAAATACTGCTGTGAACATTTGTATACAAGTTTTTTGCATGAACAGATGTTTTCAAATCATTGCTGAGTCATACTGTTTTAAACTGTTTTACATTTGAGGAACTGCCAAACTGTTTTCTAGAGCAGCTCTATCATTTTACATTCCCACCAGCAATGGATGAGTATTCTCACTTCTCCACATCCTTGAGAGCACTTGTTACTATCCATCTTTTTGATTACAGCCATCTTAGTGGGTATGAAGTGGTATCTCCTTGTGGCTTGATTTGCATTTCCTAATGACTAATGAAGTTAAGCATCTTTTCATGTGCTTATTGACCTTTTGTAGGAGCTCTGGTAGCGCAGTGCCTAAGGCACTTGACTGCTAACCAGAGGGCTGGTGGTTCAAACCCACCAGCCACTCCTCCGAAGGCAGGTTGGGCAATCTACTTCCATAGAGATATTGCCTCGGAAACCCAAGGAGGGGTTGCTGTGAATCGGATCCGACTCGATGACGGCACACAACAACATCATTGACCTTTTGTATATCATCTTTGGAGAAATGTTTATTCAAATTCTTTGTCCATTTTTAATTGCGTTATCTTGCTTTTACTTTTACATGACAGCACTATATAAAATTCCAAGTGGTCGGTTATTTTCTCTCAGTACTTGGCAGATATTACTCTCATCTTCTAATTTGTAATGGCAATTATGAGATATTTGCTAACATTCCACTGGCATTCCTTTGTAGTAATGGCTTTACTCTGATAGATTTTAAGATTTTCAGTTTTCTTGATGATTCTTCAGTTTCACTATATCTAGGTACTGATTTGTATTTTGCCTACTGGGTGTTTAGTATGGTTTAAATCTGAGGAGTCATGTCTTTTGTTTTGTTTTGTTTTGACCATTTCCAAATACAGTTTTAAGGTATCACTTTGTTACTGTTTCCTGATTTAACTGCATTATGGTCAGAGAGGGTAGTCTATATGAGACTGATTCTGTGTTATTTGTTGAGATTTGCTCTGTGGCCTAGTACATGCTCATTTTTCTGTAAGCATGTCATGTATGCTTGGAAATAATCCATAGCAGACTACAGGAAAGTCTGAAAAAAATCCACCCCCCAAAAAAATCAGTGCCATATCTTAGAGACCCCCAGTCTTACAATGTAATGAATTCAGAAATTAAAACAAAATTATTTTAAAAGAATACATATGTTTGGGAACAAAAAACATCCCTAAATAACTTGTGTTGAAGAAAGCACAATATAATTATGAAAAATATAAAGAAACGAACACCAATGAAAGGACCACATATCAAAAATGTCTTTATAACTGTCTCCTGGTATTCCTTCAACTCTCTCACAATTTTAAGGTATATATTTTAAAATCTCTTTGAGATTGGTCTATTATCTATAGTTCTAAGGGGATGAATTTTGTTTGTTGCATTTGCTCTCTCCTGGTATTTTTTTTCCCCTTTGTAAATTTGACTCATCTTCAATTTGTTACCAAAGGGGCCCTGGGCTGCGGAGGTATCCCTGTGGGGTGGGTCACGTGAGTTTGGAGTACACCACTCTTCACAGCACAATGTAGTTCCTATTTCTATTAAGGGCTATTTTGGTACCTACAGCTAAGGGCAGTAAGCCAGCTTCCCTGTGACAGTCCTGGGGCACTGGGGTTCTGCTAGCCCTCCTTGCAAGAACAACTCAGCAGTTTGTAGCCCATGGCTTTCTGCAGGAAGCCACAATTCCTGCTTCAGCTCCTGCTTACCACTGTGGCTTTCAAATTTTCTATTCATATCCAGCACCTGTGTGTATCCTTTTCTTGCTTTTAAATTCAGCTGTGCATGTAAAAATGATTCTGTGACATTTTGTCTACCATTTCTATGTGCTCAGAATGGACGGAGGGCCTCTCACATCAGATCAGTCAGCCACATTGAGCAAAGGGCCTGTGAAATAATGAGGGAGTCGGCAAAATAATCTCGTCTCCTTCTTACACAAAAAAAGATAAAATACAGAAGGAAATGACACGAGACAATGTCGGCAAGAAACCTCAACTGGTTTCTCTTTTTTCAAGCCTCTGCCTTTTCAAAGTGGGGCAATTTCTCCACCTCTTATCTGAAGAAGTCTCTCAACCACAGGGAACAGACAAGTCTCAATAAATTTATAATCACCAAGTACTTTTTAAAAGAAATTTTGTTTTACTATCAGTCAGTGCATTAAAAAGACAAGACAAATGTGCTTAGAAAGCAATTCGGTAATGACAGATAAGAGAAAAATAAAAATGCATCCCTTTGATTTTTTTTTTTAGAACAACAAATACTCACATTCTCCAAAGGGTATGAAATGACACTATTTGGGGGTAAAGCCAGCTTGTCCACTCCCTTCACCATCACCATCACTGTAGCTCGAGGACGATGGAATAGGTTACCCACTGCGAGGCCTGGCCAAGAGAGGTCCTAAACATTGAAAAGCATCAAACAGGGCTTAAGTTTCAACTCGGGAAATCATTTCCCCAATAACATCCAATAGGCAGAGTTAAGGGGTTCTGGGATAACACTGGTAATGAAAATTCACAGGGAAAGTAAAAGTTATGTTGTTGGCAGTTGTAATCTCCTAATCAGGGTGCTGATTCTACCTTCTCCATTTTCTTAAAATTCTACAGATTTGGAACAATAAAGTCTAAAAGTAATTCATTTCAATTTTTTATGGGGAAAAAAGCAGGCAAGTAAATGAAATGTAAGTACCTTTCCAATTCCAAGTTACAACATGTTCTCTTCTTTATATAATTATGAACATTTTCTTTCCCCTCATCAATTTCTGCTTTTATCTATGGCATCATTTTATCTTTCACAGACATGCAAGGTTGTCATGAAATATTCTCTTTAGGCTAAGCTTTTTATTAAAAAACAAAATTCCTGATGGAAATAACTCTCATTGGTTTACTAGTATTTATTTCTAAAGGTTACTTTAACATCTATTCATAGTCAAATTTCAGTTTGTAAGAACTAACCACAAATTTCCTCCCTGAATATAAACAACCAATTGTGCTCACTTGGTTTGCCCAAAAAGGCAGCAAGGAGTGCAGAGTCTCCTTAGGTCCCAGCACTGAGGCAGTTGCCTGCCATACATAACTTCTAGTTTTGAGGGCCCTCAAGATCTAGGAGGAATGTTCCTTCTGATGACTGGTGATATCTAGAGACCACATCCAAAGCACCAAACTTACAAAGTAGGAAGAGAGGAGACAGGAAGAGACCAAGCTGCACTTCCATTCTCTTATCCCTCAGCTTCAGAACTCTCATAAAGACAGGACGTATGTCCCCCTAGCTACAATCACTATAAGTAGTCAGTTGCTCTAATAGGTTGTGACTTAATTCTAGGAAACCAAGGTCCTAAGCTGCCCCCACAGCTACCCACCACACTATTTTCCTAACCTCAGGCAGAGTGCATATACCAAAAAAAAACCAAACTCACTGTCATCCAGTCAATTCCGACTGATAGTGACCCCCACTGGGTTTCTGAGGCAGTAAATCTTTACGGAAGTAGACTGCCCCATCCTCCTTCCATGAAGTAGCTGGTGGGTTTGAACTGCCAACCTTCAGGTAAGCAGTCAAATGCCTATAATTCATAATCACCTGTACTGAAAAAAATTAAACTATATATTCTATTAATAGTAGGACACATTTTCTTTACATACAAAGAACTTCACTACTATGAATAAACCATTATATAATTATTTGGTTTCAGAAATGGAGCTTGAAGTACTTACTCAAAATCTCCTGAACACAAATGAGCTTTCTGGCTTTTGTAACTGTACCAAATTGTACCTATGCTTGTTTGTTGCTTTCTTACGTTATTAGTAGAAAATTAACAAAAATGTTCTTAAAAGTAGCTCCATATATACACACACACACACATATATACACATACATACACACACATACATATACGTACGTAGTAAGTACACATAACACATACTTCCTTCACAGAGAAGCCCATGGACAATGCAGCAACATCTGGGATCCGTTCTCCTGGTATAGGCCAGTTTCCTTCTCGGAAAACAACAGACCCTGGTGATCTTAATATACTAAACTCGTTCCCCAAAACACCTGAGGAGAAAAGAGATTAGTAAATGAAATATCAGCATCATAAAGCTTTTACATCCACCCTGAAAATTATTAAATATAATACAAGCTCCCCATTCCCAGTTGACTTAGCATGGTAAATTATGGTTGGACAAAATGTGGCATAGCCTAAACAGCAAACCACCCTTTTACAAAGTATTATTCTAAGAATTCTACACTAACAGGATTCTCCTAATGATCTAGAGGCCTTCCTAGAGATGGCCCTTAAACAGGGGCATGCTGTAATTGGGCAAGAATTAGAAATCAGTGGCATTTTTCCAAAATTAAGAAACAAAACAACCTAGCAGAGATTAAAAAGAAACTTGAAATATCTAAATTATTTTCTTCCATCAATCCTCTCTTCAAAACGCAAATTTTCTTTCCCAGAGATAATTTCATAGAATTCTTCCTATTTTACTACAAAACTCTACAGATTCATAGGATGGATCACATCTTCCCTATGTCCTTCAGGCAAATCTAGTGAAATGTGGACAGGAGGCACATATTACCAGTTGGAATATAAACTATTTCAGACCTTAGAAACAAAGTCCAGGAAATAGTACAGTGAAACCTTTGAGAGCTGGAACTCGACAGGACTGCTTTGTTTTTCTGGGTCTTGCAAGTTTTCTGCCTTTGACAGGGTGCAGTCACTGCTTTTCTGTCACTCCCTATTCAGTGGAAACCATTTGAGTTTTCCTTCTCTGACAGGTTTCTGCCTTACTCAGCGTCTGGCTTTTGCAAATTTTACTGCATTTCTAGCTGATGTTCTCAAGGAGGTGACCTCAACTAGTCTAGGGGTATAGGGCCTGGAAACAAAAGACGAAGGATGACAATAAAAGGGACTATTTTATAAATCCTCCAAGGTGGAGGATGGGGGTATTTTGCCTCTTCACCCATTACAGGTTAATCCAATGACGTCTAACTTACCCAGGGACAAATAGCTAATGGAAACTTTTGGGCTCCTGTGAAAAGATTAGCTCCAAGTTCAAAACAAATCTTGGCTATGCCTAGTATGGGAAAATTAGACTTTAATAAACCATCACTGTTATCCTCCTCACCTAAGGAAAGTACCACTTACAGGGTTTGGAAATAAAGTTGGAAGCAACAGTAAATGTTTTGGTGTTGCAGTATTGACAGTAAATAAAAGGCCCCAGGATGGTGATGATACAACATGAAGAGTTATGAGTTTCAATTCAGCACAGCCACCAGAGCAGGAATTTCCAAATTGTTCTAGCCAAGGGCAGACAAAAAAGATTAGAATGGTACAGCCATTTGTAACTGATAGACATTTTGGTATTGCAAACCCTAAAGAAAAGGGAGCCGCAAGAGACATATTTTCCAAGTACCATATACATTTAAAGAGCCATTCTGTCCCAGATATATCCCATTTGCTTCTCTACTGTGTTGATTACCTAAACCACAGCTTCTGTCCCCACCACATCACTGAAAATGACTCACCAAATCCAAAAGACAATGTCCAGCCCTTAATTTACTCAACTTCACAAAGCATCTAATACTGGCAACTCCCTCGTTGAAAGGTGAGAAAGGCATTCTACAATAATAAAGTCACCTAATCTGGGGGTGCAAATGATACAACCCTGCTTGCTGATAGTGAAGATGACTTGAAGCACTTACTGATGAAGGTTAAAGACTACAGCCTGCAGTATGGATTACACCTCATCCTAAAGAAAATGAAAATCCTTCTGACTGGACCAATAAGCAGCATCATGATAAATGAAGAAAATATTTCAACAACAATGGAAGCAACAATCAAGAAATCAGACGACGTATTGCACTGGGAAAATCTGCTGCAAAAGACCTCTTTAAAGTGCCGAAGAGCAAAGATGTCTCTTTGAAGACTAAGGTGCGCCCAACCCAAGCCATGGTATTTTTTCAGTCACCTTATATGGGTGTGAAAGCTGGGCAATAAATAAGGCAGACCAAAGAAGAGTTGATGCTTTTGGGTTGTGGTGTTGGCAGAGAATACTGAAAGTACCATGGACTGCCAGAAGAATGAACAAATCTGTCCTGAAAGAAGTGCAGCCGGAAGGCTCCTTGGAAGCAAAAATGGCCAGACTTTGAGCTACTTTGGTCATGTTGTCAGAAGGGACCATTCCCTGGAGAAGGATATCATGCTTGGTAAAGTGGAGGGTCAGCGAAAAAGGGGAAGACCTTCAACGAGATGGATTGACACAGTGGCTGCAACAACGGGCTCGGGTATAGCAAGGATTGTGAGGCTGGCACAGGACTGGGCAGTGTTTTGTTCTGCTGTACACAGGAGTCAGAGTATCACTATGAGTCAGAGCCAACTCGGCAGCACCTAACAACAACAACAACAGTCTGAGGGTGTGGGGCCTGAGAATAAAAGAGAAAGCCTCTGCCTTGGCTTTCATGAAGTCATGACACTTGGTTTTCCTTCCCATCCCTCTGGCTGCTCCTCCTCAGTTTCTTTCCCTTCTTGGGCTTTAAAACAGTGGGGCCCAGACTTTTTAGATTTGGACATCGTTTTATGCCTACTGCCATATAGCCACCTAACTCCTAACACACTGTCCCAGAATCGTGGCTTAATAAGTATTGAACGAATAATTAATTTAACAGGTGAATGAATTTGAAAGCAGCCCTAGCATACATATATTTCTTTATATACACTTGTACTATAATAGATTACATACTCATAATAGATGATAAAGTACACAAAAATAGAAAATTTAAAAAAGAACGTGCTAACTCTGTGGTATCCTTTCCCAAAATCCACACTCCAATCTAATCATTAGAAAACACCAAACAACCCCAAATTGAGGGACACATTCTGCAAAATATCTATTGTAATTACTATTCAAAAAGGGATGAGATTTTTTAAAAAGGATATGAATGGAAGTTCTAGTACATTCTTCTGGCATCCCAATGGACATCCAGCATACTCCACTTTGGAGATCGTACCTATTGTAATTAAGGAGCTCTAGTGGTATAGTGGGTAAGGCATTTGGCTGCTAATCAGAAGGTCGGTGGTTCAAACCCACAAGCTGCTCCACAGGAGGAAATGAGGCAGTCTACTTACTTAAAGATTTACAGCCTGGGAAATCCAGTGGGGGTTGCTATGAATTGGAATTGACTCAATGGCAGTGGGTTGGCTACTGTAACCTAAGGTTCCATTCTTGACCCTCGTCGGTTTTCTATCATACATCTCTCTCCCTATGGGAGCCCAATCTACTCCTAAAGCTGTGAACACCAAAAATATACAGACTTTCCTCTCTAGCCTAGATTTCTCTTGAGCCTTAGATCTATATATCCAACATTCTGCTAGGCATTTCCTTCTAAGTCCCATAGGCCCTTCAAACTCAACAGGTTCAAAGGTGAATTCATCACCTTTCCATCTGTTCCTCCTGTATTCTCTATCTCGAAGGATGACAGCACCTTCCATCCAGCTGCTCAGAGCAGTCATCTTTAAATCCATCCTCAGCATCACAGTTCATTGATCACTGAATTCTGTTCATCTCTTTTTTTTTTATTTTCTCCCAAATCTTTCCCCCTCCATGTCCTTTCATCAGGCCCTCACCAGGTTGGCTAGAACTGACCTCCTCATAACCTATCATGTTACCCTTGGTGCAGTGCCTAAGGCTAACCAGAAGGTTGGTGGTTCAAACACACCAGCCACTCTGCAGAAGGAAGATGAGGCAGTCTACTTCTGTAAAGATTTACAGCCTGGGAAACCCAATGGGGGTCTCTTTAGTCGGAATGGACTCGATGACAGTGGGTTTGGTTTGGTTTTGGTATCACCTTTTTAATGTACAGATCTGTTCACCCTTCTGCTTAAACTCCTTCACTCACTGCCCAGGGCCTTCAAGACAAAATCCAAAAACTAACACCCAAGGCACTTCACCAGCCTTACTTCTGGGATTTCCCCAACTTACACTCTATACATTCTAGCCCTACCAAACTATTTGTTCTTTTGCTCTCACACTTCTGTGTTTTTATACGTTTTGCCTGAAATGTCTTTTTTTCCTACTCCAACCTCTCACATATATGCCCTGGGAGGCACCTCCTCTGGGGAAAAACTCCTTCAGTCTCCCCAGTCTGAGCTAATGGGTAAGTGCCCTTCCCTGTGGGAATTCCACATTATGCTGTGCTCTTCTATGGTTGGAGGACAGACTCAATCAACAGAAAATCAGTGGGTCCTACTTCAGTCCTGTGTGACCAAAATGGCCTCCCTTTTCAGATGCCAAGTGTTCATCCATGGTCATTCCTCCCCAGGCTAAACATTTGAATTTCTTCAAACATTCCTCATGACCTGGTATTGACAATCTTAGTTACCTTTCTCTGGTCTTGCCCTAGTTTGGTAAGACCGTTTTAAAGGATTTCCTCAAATAGAGGAGTCAGTGCTCTTAAACATGTTTTCCACTAAAGCAGTAGTCATCATGGAAAACAGTAATAATTTAACCTCATCTGACAAGAGTAAGCAATGAAGAAGCTGACAGGATCGGAATCTTGGCCTGTATGAACTAGACTATTCCAGTAAGGCAAGCAGTTTCAAACCATGTACAGAAACAATTATCCTACCTCAGACCAAAAAGAAAACAAACAAAAAAATCCCCTAAACCTCACTGAATCAAAACAGTATCAATCCTAATATTAAAACATGTAATTTCAATAGATGTTTAGTTAAACCACAGGATCAAAGGGAAGATTTTTACGTTTGAAAAACAGAATTTAAAAAATTAAAATAAAAAATATCCCCAAAGTATCAGAATGATCTCTGCAGAACCCTAAATAGAAACAAAACAAAACTAAAACTTTTGGAGTATAACAATAGTGTAGCTATCATTAACATATAACACTAGGCTCCTCCAGGGATTGAGGTCTATAGATTTCAAGAACATCAGTGGTCCGTCTATATGTCACGAAGAATTCCACCACCATTCCAAAAGTGGGACCTCACACCATCCACACAGAGACCCTTACATTTAAACTGACATACTGGGGAATACAGCCTTCATTCCTCCAGGTTATTCTCAATTTGGCCTCTTGTTTTCTACTGACTGCACCCAGTTTTAGCCCCACATCACTCCCCCATTCTCACACTGTTAATATTCCCCATGCCACAAAACATATAATGGAAAAGGCCTATGGTTTGGAGCCAGCTGACCTGGGTTAAATTCCTGCTTCACTACTCATCACCTGTATGATGTTAGATAATCTCTTTAGGCTCTGTTGTTGTTGTTATGTGCCCTCGAGTGAGACCCGACTCATAGCAACCCCTCCTTGGGTTGCTGAGGCGGTATCACTACAGAAGTAGATTGCCCAACCTTCCTTCCGAGGAGTGGCTGGTGGGTTTGAACCGCCAGCCTTCTGGTTAGCAGTCAGGTGCTTTAGGCACTATGCTACCAGAGCTCCTTTAGACTTTGTTGTTGTTGTTGTTATTTGCCGTCGAGTCGGCCCCGACTCATAGCGACCCCTCCTTGGGTTTCTGAGGCAGTATCACTACGGAAGTAGATCGCCTCATCTTCCTTCCGAGGAGTGGCTGGTGGGTTTGAACCTCCAGCCTTCTTGTTAGCAGTCAAATGCCTTAGGAGCTGTCCAGAGCTCCTCCTTTAGGCTTTATCACTCTGTAAAACAAGAATGATTCCCTCGTCCAAGATTAGCCGTAATATTAAATGCATTACCACATGATACAAAGTAAAAGGCCAAATATTAGCTGACTTCCATTCCTCTTGCTTAATGTCAGGGTTAGAGAACCTAGATTTTCCACTTCGAAAGCTACCGTTTATTTGACATGTGACCCTAAGGACGTGACTCACTTCATAGTTTCCAAATTCTTAAAATTGGGAACTGAGACAAACTGAGAGATGCTTGGCACTCGCCTGGAGAAATAATCACACAAAAACAACGATTCCACCTCAACTTCTGTATCCTGAAACATATTGGGAGGTGTGTGTGTGTGGACTTAACTAATTATTGATAATTACTAGTATTGAAGACACCAGAGAAATGAAAAGAAACCCAGCAGCCGAGGGCAGCTAAGAAGTCTGCCTTCCCTTCTCTGCAGAGGGCCACGATTAAATAATTAAGAAATGCAACCCCATCCTCCAGAAGGCCTCCAGAGTCGGCAGAGGCCTCCACGGGCAGACACGCCTTCCTCGAAGAGCCGGAGGGTGTAGGCCGGGTCAGGCGCCCCTACACAGTTGGGCTCCTGGTCCCCAACGGTCTACCACTCGGCGCAGCCACAGGATGGTGTGGAGATGAGGTGGTAATGTGGGAGCCTGGGGTGGGGACGCTGCCGGCTGGCTGCCCGCACTGCGGCACCCGCCCCGCAGCTGCCTACTTGTGGCCCCGACCCCGGAGTCCTGCGGCGCTGGGCCTCCCGGAGCGCGCCCCGCCCGCACTGGTTCCTCACCTGCCACCAACAAGGTCAGAAACACAAGCACAGCCATGGTTCCGCCGCAGCCGCAGTAATGCAGAGCGAGACGGAGCGGGCCCGCAAAAGGGGAACAGCGTGAGAGTGACGTGCTCGTCTCGATTCCCTGCACTCGCTTTGTCGTCTCCTCCGCAGCCTCTTTCTCCACCAATCGCCAGCTACGCTGCTGCCTACGGCGGAGATGGAGACCGAGAGTCGTCAGGATTGTGGGCGGGGTCTCATGTGAGTGATGGAAGGCCCCACCAATGGTAGGCAGCGATTGAGGAGCCGGGCAAGTCCTCCAGCTCAAGGCGGCAGGTCACGAGATGGAGGGTTGGGCCAGCTGAAGCTGGAGGAGGAGTTGGGAGAAAGCGCATGGCCGATCTGTGTTCCCAGTGCGAGCCCTTTGGTCAATTGCTAGGTTGGTCTTCAACCGAAGTGTCTGTCATTCCTGGTCGCATTCCTCGTCCCGCTGTGGGAAGCTGGAGCTGGTGTGGGATTCGCGCTAATAATTGCAGATGCTGAGCACCTGCTGGGAGGGAGGCAAGCACCTGGGGAACCCCAGCCCTCCAGGTAGGGGTGCCCGATAGAATACAGGAAGCCCAGTTAAATTTCAATTTCAGATAAGCAGTGAATAATCTTAGGAGCTCTGGTAGCATAGTGGCTAAGACACTTGCCTGCTAACCAGACGGCTGGCGGTTCAAACCCACCAGCCACTCCTCGGAAGGAAGGTTGGGCAATCCTACTTCCGTAGTGATACTGCCTCAGAAACCCAAGGAGGGGTCGCTATGAGTCGGGCCGACTCGACGGCACATAACAACAACAGTGAATAATCTTAGAGTATGTTGCAAACATTTCATGGGACATGCTTATACTAAAAAAATTATTTGTCGTTTATCTGAAATTAAAATATAACTGAACGGTCTGTATTTTTATTTGGTAAATCTGGCAACCCTACCTCCAAAAACATTCCAATCTACCAGAAGTGTTGTGAAGAACATTAGTTACTTTATTAATTCACTCAGTTTCCAACCTGGGCGAGTTGTTATGTGAACATACGTGAGTGCTAGACATACTAATTAGAGGGCAGTCAGTTTAACGGTAGAATGCTCCCTGCCATGCAAGAGACTCAGGTTCAACTCCCACCTCAAGCACAGCCACCGTCCATTTTCAGCGTAGGCTTGCGTGTTGCTGTGATGCTGAACAGGTCTCATCGGAGCTTCCAGACTAAGATTAGGAGGAAAGGCCTGGTGATCTACTTCCAAACATCATCCATAAAAACCCTATGGATCACTATGGTCTGCATTTGTCCTCGGGGACTGATTCAAAGGCAGCTAACAATAACAGACATGCTAATTAGACCAAGATCTTTCTTTCCTACAGCTAAAGCTTTTGCCTATGATGTGAGGCTAGAAGGGACTTGTAGCATCTGTGGTCAGAAAAGTATGCCCCAGCTGGTAACCTTGAAAGGTGGATATGGTTTTAACATGCAAAAATAGGAGATGAGGAGGTTCTGTAAGTGGAAACTGTAGGATATGGCAGAAAGTCTTGTCATGTTGAACATTAAATGTTTAGTTTGACCAAAGAATAGTATATATGAGGGCAGGAGACATAGAAAGCTAAAATGTGCAGATAGGGACATATTTATTGAGATTAGATTTTACCTAAAAAAGCTACATTTCATTTGGTAGGAAATGGGAGCCATTGTTTGAGGTGTTTGAGCATTCAATGCACACATGTGAGACAGACATGTTAAAAAAAAATATCTTACTGTTTCCCCAGTTCCCAATCTCTGTTTTCTTTGTGGGGTTAACTGAGAGAGAGAAAAGGAAAGCTTGCCCAACTGAGAAGTGGAATTAGAAGAACACTCCCCAAATAACTCAGATTGAACTTTCTAGAATCTACTATGTTAACCAGAGCCACACTCAACTTAGGGAATGGAATCTGTATTTCCTCTTTCTCTGAACTCTTTGGACTCCCAAATTTGCATTCTTCCAGAGGAGAATTCACATAAATGTGACTTTAAAGAAGTCTGAAAGGGGAAGGGATAGCTTTCTTTCCATTATTATTGTTGTTCCTTGCCATCAAGTCAACGCTGACCCATTGTGACCCCATGTGCACAGAGTAGAACTCTCCATAGGGTTTTCAAGACTGTGACCTTTCAGAGGCAGATCTCTAGGCCTGTCTTCCAAGATGGCTCTGGGTTGTGAAATTATTGTTGTTAGTTGCCGTGGAGTTGGTTCTAACTCATGGCAACCTTATTATAGTGGAATGAGATAACTATAACAGAATGCCCAGTCTGCCGATGATCGTTGGTATGATCAAGTCCATTGCTGAAGCCACTGTGTACTTTTACTGCCTTCTGACCTAGGGGGCTCGTCTTCCAGCACTATATTGGACAATATTCTATTGCAATCATTGGCTTATTTTTGAAAGTGGATCACCGGGCTTTTCTTCCAAATCTGTCTTAGTCTGGAAGTTCCACTGAATCCTGTCCACTGTGGGTGACCCTGCTTGTATTTGAAGTATTGGTGGCACAGCTTTCAGCATTATAGCAAAACATAAGCCACCACAGTACAACAAACTGACAGACAGGTAGTGGGTGAAATTATTGGATCACCAAAATGTCTAAAGCAGCTCGTTTCCAAAACATCATCTCTAACATGACAACTTGAAGAAAATAAATAAGAATGTAATCATTTTTTTAAAATTCATGATGGATTTGCTTAATACCAACTAAAATTTTATTCTTTGTCCATCTTGCTGCGTATCTTAGAACAGGTTCTGGATTGGAGGCACTAAAAGAGTTTATCTAAATGAACCCTACTTAGTGATGTAAGAAAGGTGCTCTGGTGATCTAGTGGGTAAGGTAACCAGAAGGTCAGTGGTTCAAACCCACTATCTGCTCCATGTGAGGACGATGAGGCAATCTACTTCCGTGAAGATTTACAGTCTTGGAAACCTAATGGAGGTCGCTGTGAGTTGGAATCAACTCGATTGGCAGTGATGTAATTAGCCTAAAGAAATGGGGAAAGGAGTGGAGTTTTCTATTCTTGAAAGAATTCTGGGACATTTGTGGTGGTTAAGTTTGTGTGTCAACTTGGCTGGGCCTGATTGAATGGCTGGGCAGCTGGATATAGTATTCCCTGTGATGAGACTGGTAATCAACTCCATGGTGGAATCTACTGTGAGCAGCTGCATAGCTGCCTTAGGGATGTGGTCTGCTTCCTGTATATAAGG